AAAAAATTAATAAAAGTTATTTATTTTTGTAATAAAAATTAATAATAAAATTTTATATTTAATTTTAACAAATAAAAATTTATTTAATGTATTAAAATTTTTAAAAATTCATAATTTAGTGATATCGAATGTATAATACTTTTTTTTACTATAAACTGTTATAAATACATTAAAACCTGTTTAAAACGAACAGTATCGGACATAAAACATCTACAAAACGGGAAAATTCCCGTTCTGTATATGTTTTATGTTTTTATTAATTAACTCTTCTAGAAAGTTCAGAGAAACAGCAGTGCTGTATTGTCAACTCTTCTAAACAATTAAAATAAAATCTTAATAAAGAAAATGATGATAATAACTATCGTATTCGAGAAGTCAACCAAACCTGAGCCACAACTTACAGCAATGTACTGTACTGTACAATAGAATTTAACTGATATTAAACTGAAAAATTCGAAGAGTCTGTTTCCGTGTTAAACAGGTTTGAAGTTCGTAATAGTATTAATTTTCCATTTTAAACATGATTTGCTGTATTTTAGTAAATTTAGATCTACAGAAAATTACTATAATTTAGTTAAAAGTTACGATAGTTGATAGTTTCACTTAAAATAGATTCTATAATATCAACAAAAAATAATTTAGCTTTTAATCTATTGTCAGATTTTCTATTGCTTCATCACGTATATTCATTCAAACTGTTTACCATCCATTAGAATATCCATTAATCATACAAGTAAACATTATCGTTCTTCCTTTTCCCTATATTATCTCGAATATCCCCAAATATCAAGCCATGACATTATTATGCGACAGATTTTTGTTCTAAGGAATAATCGATAAGCTAAGAAATTAATCTAATTTAATGATTCTCTTCTTGATTTTAATTATAAGGAAATTTTGGCATTCGGTCACTTTACTATCATTTCAAGCATAAAATAGCTTCATTAATATATTTTCTAAAAATAAATTCCTTCCTTTACTAAGAATTTTCCAAACTGTACTTAAAACGAATTTACAATTTAAAAAATGTGTTTTAATAAATATTAATGCCGAATTTAATTACTATAATTAAATTATACGTTAAATATTACGATTCTTTACTCCAGTTTATTAACGAATAAAATATAATTATGTAAAAAAAAAAAGAACAGAAATTAACCAGATATAAATTCGTTTAAATTAATTTTAATGGAATGAAAGTTTTATTAACCTTTATTAGATAATATACTGATCTTATGAGAATAAATATAAAACTATTCATTGTGCTGTACACCTATAAATTTCCACTGTCAGTCTGTTCTGTCCTTCCTTAATCTCGAGAAGGGTGTTAGATAAATGAAAGACGAAACTAACTAAGGAAAGCTTGGGGCAGGAGGTCCTAATTACCTATACACTAACTTCCGGTATAAAACGGAAGTCACGTGCTTTCAATTCAAAGATTTTTCCCAGAACGGAGTTAGATAGATGACCGGCATGACTCTGTTGTTGTCAGGTAAAGTATGATGTACAGGGGCTAATTCGAGATGGAGAGCATATATTTTAAATTAAATAAATTAAAAATACAATTAAAAATTGCATAAATAAATAGTTTGGTTATCTAATGTTATGAAAACAAAGCCGAAATAATAACTAACTATAAATAGATTTAGTTCATAGAGTTATAAATTATTTCAGAAAATATTAAATTCTCCAGACTAATCGTACATAAAAGTACAAAAATATATATATATTTTTAAAATTAATTTAAAATATTATTTAACGATAAGGAAAATTATTTTTTAAATCCCTAATTTTTTTTTAAATTTTTATTCTTAAAATATATTAAATGTATGTTATTATTGTTGGGTAAAGTTATAATTAAAAATATCTTTTTGCTGGAATTTTCTATAATATTTTAATAAAAATATTGAATTTCCTCAAGCTATTGTTTTTTCACGATTCGTGGGGTATTTTTTTTCTGCATCTTTACTTTAAAAATAAATGTTAAAATTTAATTAAAAAATATTTTTATAACTCTTGACAGTTTCTTTTATAAAATATTTTATTAAGAGTTTCTTTAAAAAAAAAATAATAATAAATCATGTTTTATTAGGTATAAATTTTAAGATTTTTATATATACAGTTTTTTTGTATTGCTAGAAAGTTATTGCTTATATATTTTTATATACGGTATATATTATATTATATTTTTTTAACTGTTAAGATGTCGAATGGCATCTAAACAAAAAATTCGAGTTTTTCTCATGTAAAGTTTAAATATAGACGATTAAATTGTATCGAATCGATAGAAGAATGCAAAAATTCATAAATATTATCGATTATTATATACTTTTTTCTTCTGTTTTTTTACAAATAAAATAGTTTTAGGTAACAGTTCGATTGAAGCCAAACACTTCCTTTGAAAGAATCTGTAGAGTTTTTCAAGAAACGTGTTTGTTTTATATCCGGACTTTTGACATTTCTAAGAAAAAGTTGTGACTTCAACAAATTATTCTAACTGAAACAAATTTTATTTTTAACTTTTAAAAAATAAAAATAAAATAATAAAATACAAGCCGAAACTCATTACTCTACTTCACTAAACGTTATGCAAATACTTGTTTAAAGAGTTAATTCTTCTCAACAACGTTTAGTTTACCAATAAAAAAGAAGGAAAAAAAAAACAATAATAAAATTTAGTAAACATTAAAGATAAATATTTTATAAATTATAAACAGTGTCGTGAATGTAAACAAAGTACTAAATTTTATGATAATTTAATAGTTCTGTTAATTTGACTACATATTACTGAGAATTTACAGTCATTTGCATTTATTTAAAATAATATGATAACAAATTTATTAACTATAAATGAACCACATTATGTAGTTACCAATCTATATTTGATCATATCAGATTGATAAACGAAGCCAATGAAATAATAACTATTCATTAAATCAATGTATGAGATAAGAAAAGTATTGATAAGTAATCGATTTAAATATCAAAATAAAATATATTATGATAAATATCTTAATAAGTTAAATATATATATTTTTACCTGAAAAACTTTTGTTTAAACTTCAACTTTCTTATAATATATATATATATATAATCTGATTATTGAGTTTGAGATCAAATCTCAAGAGAGAATGCTCCGAATTCATGATTTTATTCTTGATCTCTAGAGGTTGCTAGAGGGAAAATATCTTTAAAAAAAAAGTAATAAAAATTAAATATTATTTTTTTAAACATTTAAATAAAATTACATTAATAATAAATTTAAATTTTTTTATGAAATTAGATAGATAAATAAATAAATTACTTTTTATATCTTTGAACTTTGTGAGGAATACAACAACGTCACTTCCTTTCTCCAATCACGATTTGTTTCACTAATTTTAAAAGTGTTCCGTAAACTTGAAAGTCTTCGTGATTGGTGGAAAACAGGACACGACATTGCTCGAGTTTGAATTTATTATCATCCATACTAAATGTTTATCTTTTCTATAAATAAAAAGTAATTACAGTATTAATCATAATTGAAAGCATCTATTTAGATAATTAAAAAGTATACATTACAACAAATACATTATAATAAAAGTAAACAAAAATCTATATTCTTCTTTTTTTCAAAAATAAATGAAATCAAGTAAACACGCAATTGGCTCATTGACCGATTTTCTAAAGTTTAACATTTTCTAATAATTGAAAAAAAAACGTAAAAGAAAAATTTAAGGATTATTCTACAAAATTTAACAACTTCAATTATTTTTCTTTAATAAATAAAATTGTTTACCTGATTAAAAATAATAATAATAATTCAATTGATTTAGCCTACACAATTAATACAGTAACGATTATCTTTTCTTTATTTCATGTAATATTTATTATTAATAATTGAAAGAACTCATGATTTATAATATCTTACAATGATCAAATTTCAGAATCATTTAAGTTTTCAAACGTAAAGTACTTGATGTGGATAAGTAGTATTAATGACAAACCATTCTTAGAAAGGTTTGATCGTTATTTAAATTTCCAAATCATCATTAGTTATTGTCATAAGATCTTTGATTAAATCTTCCCAAAGAATAATTGTACAACTTCACTTTCTAATTTAAAATTAAAAAAAAAAATTATCTTCTATAACTATTTATTTATTTATTTTTAAATCTTTATTTTGGGATTATAAAATTTTCTTAAACTTTCTTAGTTTAAAGTAAGAAAAATAATAGTTCTTACGCTGAGTAACTTTTGTCATTCTATACAAATACTCATTTTTGAAATTTTTGAAATAAAATGATTTATTTTTAAAGTAAAATATAAAAAGAAATTATTTCTATTTTGTCAGCTGTTTATGATCTTTTATATTATTATTATTTTATTTTTTTATTATTTTTATTTTGATGCGCCAAAGTCTGCTATACGAATTTTTCTAGTTATTTTTAAATAAATTTTCGATGAAATATATTATATTAAATATTAAATATTTAATAATATTTTAATAATATATATTTATATAAAGATAATATTTATTATTTTCTTTAAATTATTTTTTTAAGAAAAAAAAAAACTTTATCGGAAGCGGTTTATCTGTTTTGTGACTTCAGCAGATGGGTTATGTTCTTGTTACTGAAGTAACCAGTAAGTGTTTGTCGCTATAACAGTTATTGGTATGTTTAAGAGCAAACAAGTATCAAGAATATCCGCGATGAAAGCTAAAAATTTAACACAATAATAATACTTTAGTTTAGGTAAAGATATAATATATTTATTTAAAGCAAAATTACGTTATTTACTTATTAAAATAAATAAATAAATTTAAGAGCTTACAATCAAGCAAAGAATTATACGTTAAATTATCTACTTTATTTAATTTTCTTATAAAATATTAATAAAACAATCTAAGCTTCCTTAAAATATATAAGATTTATCTTAAATGTTAATAATTTTTTTATATATTTTTTTAAAGAGTATAAGCGTAGTAAATTATATAAAATTATAATTGTTATTTACAGATAATAGTGATTAATATTTTAATAGTAAAAAAGAGTTTATTGACGACGTTGTTATTGAGTGTTCTTTAGTGTGAGCCAAGCGGTGCGCGATCTATGAAGCTGTGCCATGCGCCCTCCTACTGACAACATTAAGGATTGTGAGAGCACTGGGCAGTACTGGCAAGGATGATAAAGCTGTAACATTACCGCTCATGCCTCCTAAGTTCACGGCTGGAATTACCTGTAGTCTTACAACCTTTTATTATATGGTAAGTAATGCCAAAATTTTGTTCTTCTAAGTGCATTTCTTAATATAAAAATCATTTCGAAGATATAATATATAAAATTTCTATTATAAATNTATTAAAAATTTCTAAAAATATAGAAACTGTATATGTGTATATATATAATTAAAATAAAATGCAAATTTTATAAACAAATATAAAAAAAAAATTTATATATTTTATTAATATGAAGTGTATTGTTTAATATTCTCTTGGATATATAACTTGAAAGAAGAAAAGCATATTCTCATACTAAAAATAGTCTCAATACTCTTATATCTCACATATTTACTCTAAATCTCAATATGCTATATTGATTGTATATTGAGCGTTTGTTTTATAAACAGATTTAAACTTTTAAAAATAAAAATTTCTACTTTCGTATGCTATATTAATCGATTTAAAAGTTTTGCTATATATTTTACTACATTTTTTTTTTTTGAATTATTTCTAATGCATTTTGATCATTGAAACTTTCAATAATCTATATTCGATCTAGTAACTTTTTTTATTTTATTTTTCCATATAAAAATAGGATATTTTAAGATTCACGACATCACTTTGTATGTTCTTTTTCTTTAAAAAGTAAAATTTATAATGGCTATGTTCACTTTTATATCTTAGAAATTTATTCAGAAAGACATTATTTTCTATTTCTAATATTATTTATAATCTTTACTACACACTTTAAGCTATTTATTCAAACATTATATACTATAAATTATACTTTAAACATAGGGTTTCTAACCTTTCTAACTTGTCGATTCCCTTTCCAAAATTTGATTTAATTCTTCGACCCCCTTTCTATACTGTTTTTATTTTATTAAATTTTTAAAAAAATTATTATTTCTATTATATTTTTAAAGATAATTTCTCTATCGAATAAATTAATAGTTTGTATTAGAAGTTTCCAAACGTTATATAGTGTAAATAATTATGTTTACATTATATAAAATAAATAGAAAAAGTTTCACGTCTTAAAGAGCTTAATAAATTGTTTGTAAGAGATAAATTTATTATGATTAAAATTCAATTTATTTTATATCTATATAACCTCATTTTTCCCCTCTTATGTATGTATTCTAAATCTACTTTTATCTCTTTTTAAGATATTGTTTGTTTATCTTTTTATATCCGAAAAAATAATATTACGATTTTCAGACTGATTCAACTGTTGATATAAAGAGTATACGAATTTTTCCAAGTGACTGAATTTAGAAAATAAATTGAATTCAATAAAACATTAATCTTAACCTAAAAAAAATTCTTCTTGATAAGTCTCGTATTGAAGAATTATGTAATTAATCAGTCTACTGATACTTATTTTTGTTTATTTTGGATAATTCTTTTAGATTTTCCTATTTTGCTTTAACATATTTGTGAAAATAACAATAATAATAATAATTAATAACCACATAAGATATTATATTTTAGAGATTTTTGGACATTTATAATAGTAAAAATTTCATTTTATATGTATTTATGTTTACTGTACAGTGAAACCTCTGAATAACGACACTAACGAGAACATTAAAAAAATGGACGTTATTTGGAGAAAAACATTGTTTGGAGATTATTTTAAAGGCAATTTTGTTTTAAAAGAAGCTTACGAAAAAAAATGGCCGCTGTTTTAAAGTTGGAGTTACGGGAGGTAGCCATTATTGGAAGTTTTAGTGTGTTATTTTATGGATTTTTAAATAGTATAAAGTGAAAAATAACAGTAAAATATTAAATCATTGTTTCACCATTATGATTTTTAGAAATAATTATTTTTAATGTTTATAATTTTCATTTTAAATGAAAAAGTTTTTTAAAGCTTAGAGATTTAAAGCTACAGCTTTAACGTCCTTATAGTGTCATATATAAAACTATGCCTTATATTTGATGTAGTTAAATATATCTTGTGTTTTCTTAAACATAAATTTACAAAATAATACTCTTTATTTTAATGTCCTTTAATTATAATAAAAAAAAATTTAATTAATTTAAAAAAAACTGTTTATTCGTTGATATAAATTCATTTTAATTGCTTCACAGTTATATAATCTTCAGAAAATCATTTATAAACTAAGAGACAGATTTTTGTTTCAAAATACTTTTGTAAGTTTTACTCCTCTTTTACAGCAAATTGTCGTAATGACTGCATATTTTTTACTGAAAGTTGATTTAAGAAACAACAGGCTTAATTACTCCTTCTAGCCATAGTCATAGAAACAAATATTAAACAAAGGAAAAAAAAACAAAAAACAAACTTATTTCTTATTTAATCTGTTTTGCTGTTAAAGAATTAACAGTAAAAAAAACAAAACTTTTTTATTGTTAAATATAGATTTTTACAAATAAATAAAGTGACAATTTACTCTTATACAATTTATTTATAATCGTGTAAAATTGCAAATTAGTTCGGTAATTCATAATACGTTACAATTATATTTATTATAGAAACGTTAAAATTAAAATATTTATAGAATAATTTAAATTTAACGATCTAATCATTTGTTACTGTTAAAAATATATTTTTTTCTTACCAATTCCCAAATAAATTAAACAAGTTAAAAGGCTGATAATTGGTAAATACTTTAGAGATGCGTAATTACGTCAGATAAGATCTGTAAATACTAAAGAAATGAAATTCATATAAATCTATTGTTAATTTTTAAACTCTTTATTTGCATTGTTTTTTTAAATAAATTGTTTATATTAAAAATTTAATTATTATAATTTGTTAGAAAAATAAACATTTTAACGTCTCTAATTTGAAAATTATTTTAATTAGATAAATTTACTAATTAGAATAAAATTAAACTTTTACTTGTTAATAAGTATTCTAAATTATACATTTTAATTTAACGCTTTATAAAGACTATTTACTTAATATAATTGTTATTACAATTTTCAATGTTAAGTAGTTAATATTATAGAATTAATATATGCAACAGGTTTAATTATTTAAAAAATTTTTAAGTGATTTTAATATAAATTCGACAAATGAAACAATTCTTTAATTCATAAATGTAACAGTATAAAAAAAATAAAAGAAAAAAAACAATCAGTAGCTAGATAATGAAATTACGTAATAATAGAAAAAATAATACAATAGATTAATTTGATATCAATTACTTTATAGAAAAAATAATAATAATTTCATTACTGGTATAACTCAAAATTGGCACATAAGTATCTTAAAATCGTAATTAGAAATTAAACTAGTATCAATTTATAACTGAAATCGATACTAGATGTTGAGGAATTAATAAAAGCACTTACTTAATTGATTTATATCAATAAATACTATTTTTTTAAAAGAAAAATCTATCCTAAAAACAGGGAAAGTTAGCGCCGGATTACCCACTCAACACGTGAGGAACATGCCTAATTGCTTAATAATACGCTAGGCACAGACCAATTGAAAAAAAATAAAGCAATTTTACCATTGCAAATGTAACTTATATTATAAAATTTATACATAATTATATAATTAGACTTAATTATCTCGTGATCTCTTAAAAGTATGTAGAGGTACCACCAATCTTCTGCGCCTAGGGATCCCTGAAATTCTTAATCCATCACTAGAAAAAGTTTAGTATTTTTCATCGAGAAATTCCAAAAAATAACTTCGTGTAACTTAAATAAATTGATTAAAAATAATTATAAAATCGTAAATTATTATTTTATTAAAGGAATCGTTTTATTCGGAGAGTGTTTCTTCTTCTCGATCTTTAAAAATAGTTTTAAAAATGAAAAAAAAAATAAAAGATAAACTATGATTCTGTTGTAAAACGGCATGTCATAAAAAGTTATGTCAAGCTGTCGTTTGTATTTTAAAAGTATTGAGTTAGATCTTGATGTCATTTTGACATGTACAGTTTCTTTATCTGCTAAAATGAATATTGAATTTTGTTTATTATAATAATATATATATAATAATATTACGATTTTCAGACTGATTCAACTGTTGATATAAAGAGTATACGAATTTTTCCAAGTGACTGAATTTAGAAAATAAATTGAATTCAATAAAACATTAATCTTAACCTAAAAAAAATTCTTCTTGATAAGTCTCGTATTGAAGAATTATGTAATTAATCAGTCTACTGATACTTATTTTTGTTTATTTTGGATAATTCTTTTAGATTTTCCTATTTTGCTTTAACATATTTGTGAAAATAACAATAATAATAATAATTAATAACCACATAAGATATTATATTTTAGAGATTTTTGGACATTTATAATAGTAAAAATTTCATTTTATATGTATTTATGTTTACTGTACAGTGAAACCTCTGAATAACGACACTAACGAGAACATTAAAAAAATGGACGTTATTTGGAGAAAAACATTGTTTGGAGATTATTTTAAAGGCAATTTTGTTTTAAAAGAAGCTTACGAAAAAAAATGGCCGCTGTTTTAAAGTTGGAGTTACGGGAGGTAGCCATTATTGGAAGTTTTAGTGTGTTATTTTATGGATTTTTAAATAGTATAAAGTGAAAAATAACAGTAAAATATTAAATCATTGTTTCACCATTATGATTTTTAGAAATAATTATTTTTAATGTTTATAATTTTCATTTTAAATGAAAAAGTTTTTTAAAGCTTAGAGATTTAAAGCTACAGCTTTAACGTCCTTATAGTGTCATATATAAAACTATGCCTTATATTTGATGTAGTTAAATATATCTTGTGTTTTCTTAAACATAAATTTACAAAATAATACTCTTTATTTTAATGTCCTTTAATTATAATAAAAAAAAATTTAATTAATTTAAAAAAAACTGTTTATTCGTTGATATAAATTCATTTTAATTGCTTCACAGTTATATAATCTTCAGAAAATCATTTATAAACTAAGAGACAGATTTTTGTTTCAAAATACTTTTGTAAGTTTTACTCCTCTTTTACAGCAAATTGTCGTAATGACTGCATATTTTTTACTGAAAGTTGATTTAAGAAACAACAGGCTTAATTACTCCTTCTAGCCATAGTCATAGAAACAAATATTAAACAAAGGAAAAAAAAACAAAAAACAAACTTATTTCTTATTTAATCTGTTTTGCTGTTAAAGAATTAACAGTAAAAAAAACAAAACTTTTTTATTGTTAAATATAGATTTTTACAAATAAATAAAGTGACAATTTACTCTTATACAATTTATTTATAATCGTGTAAAATTGCAAATTAGTTCGGTAATTCATAATACGTTACAATTATATTTATTATAGAAACGTTAAAATTAAAATATTTATAGAATAATTTAAATTTAACGATCTAATCATTTGTTACTGTTAAAAATATATTTTTTTCTTACCAATTCCCAAATAAATTAAACAAGTTAAAAGGCTGATAATTGGTAAATACTTTAGAGATGCGTAATTACGTCAGATAAGATCTGTAAATACTAAAGAAATGAAATTCATATAAATCTATTGTTAATTTTTAAACTCTTTATTTGCATTGTTTTTTTAAATAAATTGTTTATATTAAAAATTTAATTATTATAATTTGTTAGAAAAATAAACATTTTAACGTCTCTAATTTGAAAATTATTTTAATTAGATAAATTTACTAATTAGAATAAAATTAAACTTTTACTTGTTAATAAGTATTCTAAATTATACATTTTAATTTAACGCTTTATAAAGACTATTTACTTAATATAATTGTTATTACAATTTTCAATGTTAAGTAGTTAATATTATAGAATTAATATATGCAACAGGTTTAATTATTTAAAAAATTTTTAAGTGATTTTAATATAAATTCGACAAATGAAACAATTCTTTAATTCATAAATGTAACAGTATAAAAAAAATAAAAGAAAAAAAACAATCAGTAGCTAGATAATGAAATTACGTAATAATAGAAAAAATAATACAATAGATTAATTTGATATCAATTACTTTATAGAAAAAATAATAATAATTTCATTACTGGTATAACTCAAAATTGGCACATAAGTATCTTAAAATCGTAATTAGAAATTAAACTAGTATCAATTTATAACTGAAATCGATACTAGATGTTGAGGAATTAATAAAAGCACTTACTTAATTGATTTATATCAATAAATACTATTTTTTTAAAAGAAAAATCTATCCTAAAAACAGGGAAAGTTAGCGCCGGATTACCCACTCAACACGTGAGGAACATGCCTAATTGCTTAATAATACGCTAGGCACAGACCAATTGAAAAAAAATAAAGCAATTTTACCATTGCAAATGTAACTTATATTATAAAATTTATACATAATTATATAATTAGACTTAATTATCTCGTGATCTCTTAAAAGTATGTAGAGGTACCACCAATCTTCTGCGCCTAGGGATCCCTGAAATTCTTAATCCATCACTAGAAAAAGTTTAGTATTTTTCATCGAGAAATTCCAAAAAATAACTTCGTGTAACTTAAATAAATTGATTAAAAATAATTATAAAATCGTAAATTATTATTTTATTAAAGGAATCGTTTTATTCGGAGAGTGTTTCTTCTTCTCGATCTTTNCGAACATGATTTTTTTTCTGATATTACACAATATTGAGATCAATTTCTTACATTGCACAAAAACAAATAAAATTCTTTAAGTAAAATATTTCATATTTTGCACAAATTTAATGGTAAAAATTATTTTTTCAGCCGTTTAAAATCTTTACAAGATATTTCTTAAATTATAAAATTTATTATTGACAATTACAATTAATTAGTTTAATAATAGTTTGTCTATCTTCACTTCATTCCCTAACACTTCAATTAATTACATACAATCAATTATATAATTAGGAAATTTGCTTACAATCTATTAATTGGATCATGAATATGTTATCTGTTTATTACATTCATCTTCAATATAATTGAATTAATATATTTTTCCAAAATTGTAAAATATCTTATTAACATTAAAATATTTAATGATAATTTTACAGTTATATATAATCTAATTAATTATTTTAAAACTACTTTTACAAATTCTTATAAACATTTAATAAAATTTTATCTGTAAAAATATATAATTGTATATTAATAACATTTATAAGAGTGACAAGAGAGCAACATTTTTGTTATAAAATAGATAATAGAGGACAATTGAATTTCTACTGTATAATGATAAGAATATAATATTATATTATCAAATTGTTTAAATATTCATATCATATGTAACCTTAAGCAGTACCAAGGCAATAATTTACAACCATTATTTTCATTCTATATATTCAATTTATCCATGCTAAATATAACTGTAAAATTCCTCAAATTAGTTGTTCTATTTTATCTACAGTTCAATTTATTTAAGGACTAGAACATTGACTTATTTATTCTCCTATTGAATTGAAAGTTTTCAAATATCTCACTCACATCTTGGCATTTATGAACTATAAATTGATTCAAATATCCCATTTTGCCATTCCAAGTTTTGAAAATATCTTTTATTAAAATTTACAATAAACATTTAAATTTGAACAAATATCTAACTTTAAAAGAAAGGAAAACAAAAAAAAAATCAGTGTAATTAGAGCCAATTTTAAAGAAACTTTCTATTAATTTCATTAAAGATATTAATCAAAAATTAAAATATCTGATCATTTTTTCCCAACCAAATTTCCATACACCATCAAGAAATATGCTGAACCAATTTTTTAAGCATGAAATGACCTTGGAATCATTTATTAAGACGATCAACCGATTGATACATCAATCGTCTTAGATTTTTTTTTTTATTATTTTTCCCAGCATCAGAAGATGAAATCAATCAAACTTTATGTTCTGAATGAATCTCCAACGTCGCTGTTCTTCTTCCGANGAAATTTATATTTTAATGAATTAATTAATAGATTTACAAGATTAATTTTGATATTTTTGATATAGTTCACCTCGTTATATATCGAATCTACAATATATACTATTAATAACTTGTTACATTCTCAATTCCTTAACTACACGTGAACGTGACATTTTAAAGAATCAACATCCTGAAAGAAAAATAATAAATTTATCTACAAACCTTTACAAAATAAAACGTGAAACCATAAAAATTCAAATTTAATATTTGAAAGTGAGAGGAGAATGAATGCCACCAAATTTTACTTCCTTGATATTTTCTTTAAAAATTTTTTATTATATATACCCGTATAAATATATATATTTATCATTAATATTTGAATTTTCTAAACAAGCAAACAGTTGAAATTGTATATATATATTTATATATCTTTTATTTATCCCTTTCTTTCTTTACAGATATGTAAATTTTGAAAGAAGATCCGAAGATCTTAACGATTATGGAGATTTTTAACGAAACAGAAATCGAAGATGAAAATACAGGAAGTAAACCAATGTTACCGAAATTTATCGAAGCTATTATGTGTATTATGTACGTCGCTATATCTATAGCAGCAATTGGAGGTAATGGTATTGTTTGCTACATAGTGATGGCTTATCACCGAATGAGGACTGTCACCAATTTCTTCATTGTTAACCTAGCTGTCGGTGACATCTTAATGGCTTGTCTCTGCATCCCATTTGGTTTTGTTTCCAATTTACTGCTACAATATTGGCCATTTGGAAGTGTCATGTGTGTTCTTGTGTCTTATTCTCAAGCAGTTTCTGTATTCATTAGTGCTTACACGTTAATAGCAATCAGCATAGATAGATACATCGCTATCCTTTATCCTCTTAGACCTCGTATGACTAAACTCCAAGCGAAAATTATTATATTTGTGGTATGGATTGTGGCTTTATTGACACCTTTACCTACAGCTATCATGTCGAGATTAGGACAACCACCGGACTGGATAGAGAAAAATATTACGGAACTGTACGTTTGTACCGAAGCTTGGGAAACGGACGAACAAAGATATTATTACAGTATGGCTCTTATGATATTACAGTATTTTTTCCCATTGATTGTGCTTATTTATACGTATACAAAAATTGCTATAGTCGTCTGGGTCAAAAGAACACCCGGAGAAGCGGAAGATGCTAGAGATCAAAGAATGGCAGCATCTAAAAGAAAAGTAAGTAGAAAAATCAAGAACAGAAATTCTTAAGAACGATTAAATTTAACACAGATAATCACTTTTGTTAATTAATCTTGTTTTAATTAATATAATGCTATTCATTTCCGCATATAAAATTTTATCTAATTAAAATTATTTGAAAATGTCTTTTGACAAACGTGATCTTTGATTGATGAGAATCTGAAAATATTTGCTAAGTACACATAAGTTAAATTGTTAAACAATTTAATAAAAATCTTCACTTTAAGTGCTTAATTGTATTAATTTTATTAAAATTTAATTCAGGGAACAAAGTTTGACTTAATTAACAAATTTTATAGTTTATTATACTGAAATCATGTTAATTATGAAAATTAATCTCTTACGTATCTTCTTTACTTTATTCTTAAGAGGTTTTTAAATTCAGACTATTCTTTCGATTATTTAAAATTACTTTAAAAAAAATTTTTAAACTTCTATAATTTCCTATCTTTCTCTTTTATGTTCTTTGTTATTTGTGCATTCTATCCTTTCCTACACTCTTCTTCCTATTCTTGCAGATGATTAAAATGATGATAACCTGTGTGACTGCTTACTCCTTGTGCTGGCTTCCTCTCAATACTTTTGTTCTTGTGGGGGATCAACATCCTGAGATTTACAAACTACCAGAAATCATCTACGTTTGGTTTGTGTGTCATTGGTTAGCCATGAGTCATACCTGTTATAATCCTCTTATATATTGTTGGATGAATACGAAGATGAGAGCCGGTTTTCAGCATGTTTATCGTAGTGTTTTCTGTCTTCGACAATCTACCCCAAAAGATTTGTTAGAAGTTACACAAATATCTACCGTTCATTATGGTCACGGACAGAAAATTAGTGGTCATCCACTCTCGCGAAAATTCACTCACATAACCAATGATGGCGAAAAGATGTATAGAATTAAGTACGAAATTATTTTATGGTCTATTTTTAGTATTTTCTTTCGTCTTATATTTAAAATTATTCTCAGTTACTTAAAAGGGAATCCCATTTTTACTATATCTTCGCGCGAAATGTGATCTACGTATTCTCAAATTAGATAAATTACTATCAAAAAATCATAATATTTTGACATATATACAGTTAAAAAAATTAAATATTTAATTTAAGTTTTAAAATGATTATTTGATAATTAATAAATTCGAATACAGCGCGCATTCAATATGTAGAAGTAAATGGGACACTCTTAATATATTTTAAAGCATTTTAATCTAAATTAATCAATATAATATATTTTAAGTTTGTTATTATTTAAAATTGAATGAATTTTTTTTTTGTTTCAGATGACAAAAATGATGATAACAATAGTAACAATTTTCACATTGTGTTGGTTACCACTGAACACTTTAATCGTTGTAGCTGACCAAGACGAGCGAGTATGGAAGTATGAAAACATCATTTACATCTGGTTTGTTTGTCACTGGTTAGCAATGAGCCATACATCATATAATCCAATAATTTATTGTTGGATGAATGCAAAATTCCGCGAAGGGTTTAAACAACTTTGTCATCGTATGGGATGTATCAAAATGCGACAAAGATACGGAGATAGTGCACTCAGGAGGAGCAATACATGTACGACATATACAAGTATAAGAAATATGAGCATACGTGGTTCTACTTCGATTTCTCGTATATCTCATATGGACGGTTTCAATAAAAATTTTGCTTTGCCCATACATAGGACTAAGGCACATCCTCACATATCTAGATATGATGATGAATTGGCGAGTGATTCTTACGTATAGGTAAAGATCGTATGTTTTTCTCGTCATCTTCTTGCGCTTTTGTATCTTTATCTAGTATATATCATCCCACTATATACGTGTGCATGTGTGTATGTGTATAATTTATTTTTAAAACATCTTTAATGTTATAATTTGATGTTTTAAAAGTGTGATTTTCTCAATATATTAACATCCTTAAAAAATAATTCCAAGAGTTTATAGTTATTTTACATGTTTTAGGTTGGCTTATACACTCATATTTAACTATTTTAATCACATAAAACATATTAATAAATGTCAAAAAAAATTAAAATTGTATATATGTATGTATATGTCTTATAAAAATTAATTAATTAATTATCTATCTTAAAAAATTAATAAATAATTTTT